CCACGTTATGGATATTTTCCCAAGGGGAAAGTTAATGATTCTTGTGACTGGAACACCCAGGTGTCATGGCTGGTCACATGAAGAATGGGAAAGAGATATGTATCTTCTTTATGAAACATTACAGAGTTTGGTCTAGTGATTTGAAACAGAGATCTGGGAGTCAAGACTATAGTGTTCTTATACTGACCCTCTGTGTGTGTCCTCCAGTAATGGGAAGTGATTTCCTGTGTCTCACTCTCCCAGTCTAGAAAATGGGGATAACCCTAACTGGCTGGACAGAGGGGCTGAGACAATCAATCAGTTTGTCTTTACAAAGTTCTTTTGAGATCTCAAAGTAGAAAGCACTGAAGACAAATGACTTCACATTCAGTTATATTTGTAAGACAAAACCTTAAAGTTCCAGCTTGATTTTTAATTTTTACAGACAAGTTCACCCATAGTGCTAAAAGAACTGATGACCTGGGGAACCCTAGTTAGTTTGGCATCTAGGAACCAAGAAAAAAGCTTAACTTACAAAAGAAGTTACAAGATTCCATTTAACATCAGCTTGTATCTCTGGTCCGCTCCTAGGGCTATTTTTAAATCTGCTCTAGAGACACAAGCCTCCAAGTGCATCTGATGAAGTGAGCTGTAGCTCACGAAAGCTTATGCTCAAATTGGTTAGTCTCTAAGGTGCCACAAGTACTCCTTCTCTTTCCAAAGATTTGTTTTTATGCTACTATATTTGAAATGTGAAAATATCTGCTTTCTATAAATAGTATCCTCAAAGTGCCAAGACCTTGCCTGTTGGTTTAGGCCCCCCCTACCAAAAAACCCCACACACACAACCCCAAACAATATAAATAATATTTTTGTGTATCTTCCAGTGAAAGGGAAAGAATTAAAACTATAACAGAAAAGGAAAAACACAGGCACAGAAGATGTGCAATACCATATCAAAATCTCAGTCTCACTGGTCTGGTATCAGCGTTTTTATGTGTGCTTTGAGCCTGTTCTAATCAGTTAAGTCACCTCCATAGCAAGTCTAAGGATTTTAATTTCTTTAGACTCCAGGGCTTTTCTGACAAGCTTCCTCTTTCTGGGGAAATCACCCTTTCTAAAGCATAGTGGTAATTTTGTGTTACTTTTCTTTACACAAGGATCTTGAACTTCATTATATTGCAGTCTCCTAGTAGTTCAGCTAGAAACAGTGTTACTACTTGAACCACTGCTTGAGTGTGTCTCTTTAGAGACAAGGCAAGAAAGGCTTCTCCCCTTGCCTGCTCTAAGGGCCCATTAACACTGCAATGAGACACCCATGACTGGCCCATGCCAGCTGATTTGGGGGCTTTTTAATTGCCATGTAGACAGTAGAGCTCAGGCTACAGCCTGAGCTCTGGGACCCTTCCAGCTCACAGGATCCTAGAGCCTGGGCTCCAGCCCAAACATCTACACAACAATTCAACAGCCCCACAAGCCGGCACAGGCCAGCGGCAGGTATAATTACAGCTTAGACATGCCCTAACATCTCATCATACAGCAGCACTGGTGATAGCTCTAGTGTAGAGGAAGCATTGGCAGCTGCTACTCTTTTTACTACCATATCCTTGAGGCCTGCTCTGTGCAGTTACAAATGACCCAGTGATTTAATAGGTGGGGACCAGTGGGAGTCATGTCTACCTTTAGGTTTCAGAGGAACAGCCGTGTTAGTCTGTATTCGCAAAAAGAAAAGGAGTACTTGTGGCACCTTAGAGACTAACCAATTTATTTGAGCATGAGCTTTCGTGAGCTACAGCTCACTTCATCGGATGCATACCGTGGAGACTGCAGCAGACTTTATATATACACAGAGAATATGAAACAATACCTCCTCCCACCCCACTGTCCTGCTGGTAATAGCTTATCTAAAGTGATCATCAGGTTGGGCCATTTCCAGCACAAATCCAGGTTTTCTCACCCTCCACCCCCCCACACAAATTCACTCTCCTGCTGGTGATAGCCCATCCAAAGTGACAACTCTTTACACAATGTGCATGATAATCAAGTTGGGCCATTTCCTGCACAAATCCAGGTTCTCTCACCCCCCTCCCAAAAACCCCACACACACAAATTCACTATCCTGCTGGTAATAGCTCATCCAAAGTGACCATTCTCCCTACAATGTGCATGATAATCAAGGTGGGCCATTTCCAGCACAAATCCAGGTTCTCTCACATCCCCCCCACCCCCATACACACAAACTCTGTCTTCTGCTGGTAATAGCTCATCCAAACTGACCACTCTCCAAGTTTAAATCCAAGTTAAACCAGAACATCTGGGGGGGGGGGGGGTAGGAAAAAACAAGAGGAAATAGGCTACCTTGCATAATGACTTAGCCACTCCCAGTCTCTATTTAAGCCTAAATTAATAGTATCCAATTTGCAAATGAATTCCAATTCAGCAGTTTCTCGCTGGAGTCTGGATTTGAAGTTTTTTTGTTTTAAGATAGCGACCTTCATGTCTGTGATTGCGTGACCAGAGAGATTATAAATGGACACAAATGAGATGTCAAGCATTATAACATTCATAAACCAGTCGGAGAACACTTCAATCTCTCTGGTCACGCAATCACAGACATGAAGGTCGCTATCTTAAAACAAAAAAACTTCAAATCCAGACTCCAGCGAGAAACTGCTGAATTGGAATTCATTTGCAAATTGGATACTATTAATTTAGGCTTAAATAGAGACTGGGAGTGGCTAAGTCATTATGCAAGGTAGCCTATTTCCTCTTGTTTTTTCCTACCCCCCCCCCCCCCAGATGTTCTGGTTTAACTTGGATTTAAACTTGGAGAATGGTCACTTTGGATGAGCTATTACCAGCAGGAGAGTGAATTTGTGTGGGAGGGTGGAGGGTGAGAAAACCTGGATTTGTGCTGGAAATGGCCCAACCTGATGATCACTTTAGATAAGCTATTACCAGCAGGACAGTGGGGTGGGAGGAGGTATTGTTTCATATTCTCTGTGTATATATAAAGTCTGCTGTAGTTTCCACGGTATGCATCCGATGAAGTGAGCTGTAGCTCACGAAAGCTCATGCTCAAATAAATTGGTTAGTCTCTAAGGTGCCACAAGTACTCCTTTTCTTTTTATGTCTACCTTTAGCGCTCCCTATTGTTGAGATGGGGAGAAATTTTTCAGGGAAGGGGTGGGGGAGAATGCATGTGCACACACAGTCCTAGGGACTAAAAGAATAACCATCCCCCTCCACACACACACACGTGTCAAGCCATCTTAACTTGATTGGAACCCCCACCTAACCCGCCATTAAACACAGTTTAACACTAACTCTCCCAGCTTGCCCTTCTGAGATAGGGCTAATGTTGAAGAGCTTCTACACTAGGGCAATGGGAGCTACATGAGCACCTAGAAAGATCTTTAAATCGAGCTGCATTCTTTCCACCTCTGACTTCATCCTTCCTTCAACCTCCTTCAGCGTAACAGATAATCCCATGATTTTTCCTGCTTTCAGGCACTCTCAACTCCTCTTTTCCTCACATGTGCTATTGTGATCTGCTGCTGCTGCTTCCTTTATAACAGCTTTGAAATCCATCCTTATCTGTCCCTGCCTCTCTCTTGCTCGGTGCTATAGGTTCCTTTTCCACAGGCTCCTTAACAGCCACATAGCTCTTCTACTACAGAGTATCCAAAATACCAATGCCAAAATTAACTTCTAGCTGTGACTAGATCACACAGACCCCAGCCTCATACAAGTCCCTCCACTGGTTCTATGTCCCCTACTGCATTTATTTCAAATTTCTGCTCTGCACAGCCAAGGCTCTGCCCCTGCCTACATCTCATCTGTGGTCACCTGCCACTTCCTTATTTGGACCCTGCACCTCCCTCTTTCCACCAATTCCAGTGTTTCATGTTAACACTGGCTGAAGACAGTCTCTGCACCAAAGAGCTGACCACCTAGACATTGACAGGATACCGATTGCGTCAGCCAAGCAATGCTCACACAGACTAAGGTGGTTCCTTCTCCTTCCATCTGGCCATCCTGTCTGTTATGTTCTTCAGCACCCTGTCTCATGATCAGTTCAGATTGTGTGGCAGTTACCAGGTTTTGCTTCCTATGTAAAGGACCATGCATACCGTCATTGTGCTCATGCAGATGTCAAATCATCAGTACCCACTATTAAGGGTTCTTTAGTTGATTAGGACAATTTCACCTATGTCAGCTCATGGTCAAATCCAGTTTATTCTCCCACAGCTGGGTGAACTGAGAAGCAAATGTGAGTGGACTTATAACTTTTTTGTTGTAAAAGCAGGCAGTGACTAAGATGCACAGGGAGCAAAAATACCAACAACAAAAACACAATTGATACAAGAGTAGTTTCAGAGTAGCAGCCGTGTTAGTCTGTATTTGCAAAAAGAAAAGGAGTACTTGTGGCACCTTAGAGACTAACCAATTTATTTGAGCATAAGCTTTCGTGAGCTACAGCTCACTTCATCGGATGCAGAGGAGTTGTATCTCTCCAAACACAAGGAGCTCCACTCCCTAACCCAGAGAAGAAAAAAATAAAAATCAAATCACTGCCAGCCACAGCTGCCTTTGTCCACTTCAGGTCTACCCTGTGGCAGCTCTTTAGATTGAAGTGTTATAGGATGGAATATGCAAGTGGCAGCATGAGTCCAGAAAGGCCACATAGCCACTCACCTCTTGCCCTACCACTACTCATGCTTGGCAGAGACCGGAGAGGGTCCTACGTGCCTTCGCAAAGTTTTGCGTTGGGAAATTTGGAAGTGGCTTTAGGAATAGAAGTTACCGATTTGCACTGAGACAGAGAATTGAGAGGCAAAATAAACCGTACACTTGGATGTTCAGATTCTGCAGATGGGGAGTCTCAAAGTAATGCTATAGTTCACAGCCCTTTCTCTCACTGATGTTTCCTTGAGACAAACACACAGGCCATCATTCCTGTAACAAGCAGCACAATAACTAGAAGCAAAGGAAACCCCCTACAATTACAGGCAGATTACCTGCTTCCTCACCCACAAAGGGATCTCCTTTTCTGATGCATGTAGCACTGTCCCATATCAAAATGCAAAGACCCCTGCAAACACACACACGTGCATACAGGTTAAACAGCTGGAAGTGTTTTTCTGATACTCTTGTATAACGATTACTATACAACCCCCCAAACAATACATTACCACACACATCCCCGCACACACACACAGCACCAATATTTGTCCGCTCACGTGAATTTCATGCCAATACTTTGAGTGGGAAAAAAATGCACAAACTGCTTATTCCTAACAAACAAAGATGAAGTGAGAAATCTCAAGGCATTTACCATTACAGCGGTTCCCCGAACTATTCGTTACCGGTGAGCAGGAAGTGGCTCTTAACACAAAACCACATCAGAAAGGATTTGCATTGCTTTACAACTTTCCATCTCCAAAGTCAATGCAAATACTGGGAACGTGGGAGGGGGAAAATCAGCAAATCCCTCAGTCCGCCAGCACACCACAAGCCAGCCGGAGGTGCAAAGAAACACCAGCGGCGCAGCAGAGAGACATCCGTGCAGTGCCTTCCCAAGGCATGAGCGGTTTCTGTGCAGCATCGTGGTATCTTTGTTTGTTCTGACACCGGGAAACCCCTAAAAATAGTTTCTGCAACAGGGGCCCGCCAGACCAGCTCAAACTAGCGAGCAGCAAAGAAACATTTCCACAGAGAGAGACCGAGAAATGCTGGGCTAGAAATTGGGGGGGAAGAGAGAGAAGTAATCGCACTGAAACCGAACACAAACTTACAGCCTTAGAGCATGTTCTCCCTGGAGTTGGAGGGGGGGGGGGGTTGCGTGGTCTATCGAACGACACCCCCACGTGAAAAATAATTTCCAGAGACAAATTCACATCTTGCTGGTCAGTTGTAGAGACAGAAACTGACTAGACGGAGCGCTCTCCGCCGGGGGCCCTTTGTGTAATCTACACTTACCATAATACAAGAGCCAAACCTAGCACCGCCTCTACATTACCATATTACACCAATCCCACGTCGCACCGAAAAGCAAAACTGCTGTGCAGTTGCCACCCACACGCTGTGGTGATTAGCTTAAGCGACATCAGCAGGAACCGAGCGCCTAGAAATCAAGTCTGCAGGAGCACGTTTACCGTAATTAATAGAACACACCGTGCATGCTTTTTCAATTGACTGAGTGTAGCACCACACTAACCGTAATGCATAAATATTGCATCCACATTATTATACTGCTTAGTTTTAGAGAGACGCCGTGAGATTAGCCCATGCCGATTTAGCTTTTACCATAAGAGCAGGAATAATGTACCCTTAGCTATGCATTATTTATGTGGCCGTAAATCCATTGGGGGACTTTGGGGATACAGTATATTAAAAAAGTAAGAGTTATGCTCATGTCACTAAACCCCCCCAGACTAAATTGTAGCCTTTAGTGAATTAAAGTGAATTAAATCTCTCTCTCTCTCTCACACACACACACACACCCCTCCCAAATGTGAATACAGAGTACAGCACTTGAACAAAGATCCAACTGCCCCAGTATGTCTCTCCTTCTCCTCACAGTCCCGTTCTGGATTTCAGGCCTCTTCTTTCTCCATCTTGTACCATCTTCTCCATCCCTGTCAGTATGTATTCATTCTTCCTCTTGCTTTAGAACCTGTCCCTGTCCCTGTCCCATTTTGTAACCACACTGAGCACTTTCAAAACAAATAACAGCAGAACCTATTATGGCACAAAGCCAAGCTCAAAACACTCTGCAGACTACCAAAGAAACTCAAGCCCTGCATCAGACAAAAGCTTGTGTAAATGGACAAATCTTGCAATGTCCTTTGAAAGGTGTGTTTAAAACCCTTTCAATATGTATCAAACATACATTTTGAAATATCTTTAAAGCCAATGTGCCTTTGTCTTGACTTTGTAGCACCCCCAGTATAGATCTGTTGCCTGTCTAAATACTGCTCTTCTAATGTACCACAAACCTGAGAAGCAAAAACCCTAGTTATTCCAGTCTTGTTCTCCCTCCTGCCACCCTCTACTAGAACCTCATTCCTGATCTGCAAAGCCCCCTGTTATTCCAATCTTGGGTCCCCCTTCCTATAACTCTGTTGATGCACCTTATTTCTGACCTGTAGCAATCCTTGCTATTCCAGTCCTGAGCAAAGACTGAAAAGTCTGGCTGCTTGTATTGATTTATTTATTTTTTGTTAATTATGATGGATGTTAGTTCAGTTGAGATCAACAGACTGATTATATTTGCAATCCGAACAAGACTCAAGCCAAGGGCTCCAGACTAATAACTAACCCACTGTTCTCCCATTCCCCTCCCCCCATTCATTAATGTCCAAATTATTTGTATGGAATGTCACACATCATAGACTATTTAGGATTCTAGCAAAAACATAAGGAACAAGAACAAAGAAGTGCATCAAAGGCCCAATTCCTGGGGGTGGCGGACAAACAACATGGTATCAATGTGAAAATAAATCATTTGTGGAGAATAACATAACTTGCATCTTTGCTCATCCTTTGGTCCCATTTACAAAATCCACCAATGAGATTAAATTTTATTTGTGCATTTCTCTAAAAAGATTGTCAGCTCCAAACCATAGACTAAAAGCAATTGCCTTTCAGATGGTTTCAAGAGCCCCTTGTAATAAAAGAGAAGAGGGAAGGAAGCTCCTCTTTGGGACTGTGGTTATCCTTTTCACATTTTGAACCCTATTATACAATTCCCTTCTTAAAAAAAAAATATCAGAAAAAAACAAAATTGTTTCAGTGGAATTCATGCAGGGGAAAAGGGCTGGACTGACCACCCTAGAGACTGCAGCCCACAGAACACATGGAGCATGGGCAGCAGCTGGGTACACTTCCCCATGCTAACCACTAGCAATGATCCTCAGTCCTGTCCTGGTGGAAGACTCCCACGATCATATCCAGCAATAGGGATGTCTGGGGAACTAGTCAGATGCTTTTTAATTCCATTGCAATACATTAGAGTAGGGGAGATTTGGGGGGGGAGGGAGGAGGATGGACATAATGAGGAAATGATAAAAAACGTTCTAACATTAGGGGCAGTTAGTATGTCGTCTCTAGGGTTCAGTCAAAAGCTCCATTTCTATATGCCAAAGGAACTGGTAGCTTTTGTGATTTGCACACTTACTAGGAACCTTTTCATTTCACATAAGCCAAAGCTAGTTAGAACATGGAATTTCCATTCTATGGAAACTGACATTTTGAATCTTTTTTTAATTCTAAATTGAAGCAAAAATCTAAAATTTCCCCTGGAACAAATGCCAGAAAAAAGTCAAGTCAGAACCATCAAGATATTTCATTCTGATCAAGTCAAAACATCAGAATATAATACTATATATATATAAAATAGTGTGTATATATTCAAAACAATATTCAAAACAAAATAAAACATTTTCACCTTATTGAAATGAAATGTTTTGACATTATCTAGACAAAATTAATTTATATTTTTATCACAAATTTAGCTTAAATCCACACATTACAGGAAAGCATTTTGATTGCAAATCAATGGGCCCTAGGCTCCTAAGTGCCTAAATCTCTTTTAAAAATGGGAATTAGGTACTTTAGAAAATATTGTTCCTGTACTGGATTTGAATCCATAACCTAGAGGCCAGGTCTAAACCAAAAGTTAGGTCAACACAGCTACATCGCTCAGGGTGAGAAAAATCCACAACCTGAGTGACGTAGTTAAGCCAACCCTCACTGTAGACAGCTCTAGGACAAAGGAAGAATTCTTCCATCGACCTAGCTACCATCTGCTTGGTGAGGGGACTAACTACAGCACTGGGAGAACCCCTCCTGTTGCTGTAGTGAGTGTCTACACTGAAGCGGTAGAGCCGCGCAGCTGCAGTGCTCTAGCTGTACCGCAGCAACATGTCTTGTGAAGGCATAGCCAGTCAAAAGTCTCCAGCTCCTCTTCCTAACGCCTTGAACCATCCAATCCTCCCATCTACCTACTCCAGTATGAAACCAGGCTCAGGCACTTAAAAGGGCAAGCTCAGTTTGCATCAATATGGTTCAGTCTTTCAACTGTGCCACAACCATGTTTCAAAACCAAGTCCGAGTCATGCCGGTGGTTAGTCTCAAAAGCATCATCTATACTGGAGAAAAACCATGTATAATTTAAATGTAAGTATTGACCAAGGAATGGCTGATACATTACAAATATCGCCACCAGCAAGTTCATTTCATTTGCCTTTAACTCTGTGTCCACATATAGCAGCATAGCACGTTGCCTTCTGGAAGCCTATCCCATGATTTCTGTCCCAACGCAACTGTACTATACAGTAGCTTGTGGAAGTGACCAAATAATTATGAGAAGACTAATGATAATAATGTGTAAACTAGTTTGCCAGTACTTCCCATCTGCTTAGCAGTGTAATATTATGAGGATTGTAGTGTTTAAATTTGTTCACAGCAAGATTAATTAGTATATGCAGTATAAAGTCCCCTTTACAACATTTGTATCAAATTTGTGTGACTAGGGGCTAACTGTGTGATTTATTATTACTCTCCACTGTAAAGGAGACCACACACTATTCTGAGTTATCAGCTCACTGTTCCTCTGGGAACAGAATCAGATGCATTAAATCAGGCAAGGGAGAGGAAGGAGTAAAACATAACCTCCAAACTATGAGCCTGAGTCAAATAGAGGGTGGAGGTGTTGGAAACAGTGATGTAGAAGAAGGAAAAGGGAGAGCATTTGGGAGAGAAGATATGGATTTTGGTTTTGGCTGATGAAGATACTTGAGAGAGACAGGCTAAGATAGTGGATTGAAAGGAAAGAGGCTGCTGATCAGAGGTGGAGTGGGAGATGGTGTGATTCGTCATTATAGAGATGGTAGCTAAAGCCATATAAATGGGTGAGATTGCCCAGAGGTATAAAATAAAGTGTAAAAAGCAGAAGGCCAAGGACAGGTAGCCCTTGGTGTACAGCCACAGCAGGAAAGGGGAGTAGGAGGACCCACCATAAGAGACACTGAAAGAACAATCTGAAAGATAGGAAGAAAAGCAGAGAGGAGAATGTAACTAAAGCCCAGAGATAAGATGTCTAGCAGGAGAGAGAATGATTAATAGCATGAAATGCACCAGAAAGGTATAAACCACTGGAGGACAACCTGCGGCCCATGGGCCGCAAGTGGCCCATCAGGGTAATCTGATTGTGGGTCGCAAGACATTTTGCTGTTGTTGACCGTCCGCAGGCATGGCTCCCTGCAGCTCCCAGTGGCCACGGTTAGCCATTGCCCTTCGCCCACCACTGGTCTAAAGACATGCTTAGCCCTCCAAGGACTTACAGTGTGTACCTGCCCACTGATTAATCTTTTAATTACTACCACCAGCTGGGTCTAAGAGGTTACACCCCCTACACACCATGTGTTCTGCTGCAGTGGTTTCAGAACTGCTATCACAAAGAACTGGCTAAGGAGATTCTAGCATGGGAGAAAGGCAGCATAAACCCAATGGGAGAAAAAACGTATTTCACTTGTTTATAGAGTCTTTGTTCAAACTTATGACACATACATTGTTTATACAATTCTTGGGTCACGTGCAAAACTGGCCTGATTTCAGATCGCCAGAAAATACAGCTTATTAAACATGATATATCTGAAATGTGTCAAGGAGACTACGCTAACAGGATCTGTTATATGTAATATTTAAAGATATAAAAATTTATGTCCCTGGAGGACATAGTTTAGCAGTCTAAGCATCAGATATTAAACACTTTTAGACCACATCTAGAATAAAACAACACTGAGGCAGAGCATATAGTCTCCCCCGAGGTTTCAGAAGCTTAAATTCTTTCATTTGATGCATTACAAATGTTGATTGATTAGATGTATAAACCATATTCCACTAGGCAGCACTTCCTCATGTGTCTGAGGATCTGAGGTTCTCAGGTTGGCTGAACTGGCCTGGTTAGCGATGTCATTTATTCA